CATGAAGAAAGCAATAGATCATTAAAAAGACAGGAAAGAAAGAAAAGACCAAAATGGATGTCAGAAGAGACTCTGAAACTTGCTCTTGAATGTAAAGTAGCTAAAGTGAAAGGAAGAAATGATGAAGTAAAAGAACTGAACAGAAGATTTCAAAGGGCGGCTGGAGAAGACAAAGTAAAGTACTATAATGACATGTGCAAAGACCTGGAGGTAGAAAACCAAAGGGGAACAACATGCTTGGCATTGCTCAAATTGAAGGAACTGAAGAAAAAATTCAATCCTTAAGTTGCATTATTGAAGAATTCCATGGGGAAAATATTAAACGACACAGGAAGCGATGAAAGAAGACGACAAAAGAAGATGGAAGGAATACACAGAGTCACTGTGCAAAAAGAATTGGTCAATGTTCAAACACTTCAGGAGGTAGCATATGATCAAGAACCTACGGCACTGAAGGAAGAAATCCAACGTGCACTCAAGGCGTTTGGCAAAAAACAAGGCTCCAGGAATGGACAGGATGCCAATTGACATGTTTCAACAAACAGGTGCGGCGCTGGAAGTGCTCACTCATCTATGCCAAGAAATTTGGAAGACAGCTACCTGGCCAGCTGACTGGAAGAGATCCGTATTTGTGCCCATTCCAAAGAAAGGTGATCCAACAGAGTGTGGAAATTATTGAACAATATCATTAATATCACACACAAGTAAAATTTTGCTGAAGATCATTCAAAAGTGGTTGCAGCAGTACATCGACAGGGAACTGCCGGAAATTCAAGCTGTATTCTGAAGAGGACATGGAACCAGGGGTGTCATTGCTGATGTCAGATGGATCTTGGGTGAAAGCAGAGATACTAGAAAGATATTTACCTGAGTTTTATTGACTATGCTAAGGCATTCAACTGTGTGGATCATAACAAATTATGGATAACATTACAAAGAATGGGAATTCCAGAACACTTAACTGTACTAATGTGGATCCTGTACATAGACCAAAAGGCAGTTGTTTGAACAGAACAAGGGGATACTGCATGGTTTAAAGTCAGGAAAGGTGTGCACCAGGGTTGTATCCTTTCACCATACTTATTCAATCTGTGTGCTGAGTAAATAATCCGAGAAGCTGGACTATATGAAGAAGAACGTGGCATCAGGATTGAAGGAAGACTCACCAACAACCTGCGATATGCAGATAACACAACCTCGCTTGCTGAAAGTGAAGAGGACTCAAAACACTGAGGAAGATCAAAGATTACATACAGGCTTCAGTATGGATTGCACCTCAACATAAAGAAAACAAAAATCTTCATGACTGGACCTATAAGCAACATCATGATAAACAGAGAAAAGATTGAAGTTGTCGAGGATTTCATTTTACTTGGATCCACAATCAACGCCCATAGAAGCAGCAGTCAAAAAATTAAATAACATATTGCATTGGGCAAATCTGCTGCAAAAGACCTTGTTAAGGTGTTAAAAAGCAAAGTTGTCACTTTGAGGACTAAGGTGGGCCTGACCCAAGTCATGGTATTTTCAATCGCCTCATATGCACGTGAAAGCTGGACAGTGAACAAGGAAGACCAAAGAAGAATTGATGTCTTTGAATTATGGCACTGGTGAAGAATACTGAATATATCATGGACTGCCAGAAGAACAAACAATCTGTCTTGGAAGAAGTACAGTCAGAATTCTCCTTAGAAGCAACGACGATGAGACTTCATCTCACGTACTTTGAACACGTTATCAGGAGGGACCAGTCCCTGGAGAAGGACATCATGCTTGGTACGGTACAGAGTCAGCAAAAAAGAGGAAGACCACCAAGTATTGACACAGTGGCTGCAACAATGGGCTCAAGCGTAACAATGGTTATGAGGATGGCACAGGACTAGGCAGTATTTTGTTCTGTTTTATGTACGGTCACTATGAGTCAACCGTCTCAACTGCCCCTAACAACAACAACAACACATATTCAAAGTTAATTTTTAAAAAGTTAAAAACATGACTCATACCACTATAAAATAAACACATGTCAAAGATTATTCAGCCCATTAATGAGGGAACCAGCAGGATGGTAGTAAGAGCATTTGAAGAATTTTGGTTATTTATAGGCAGCCAGAGGGGGAAAAAG